AGTTTTACCCAGTTTTTAAATGTCCTAGAGGAGGGAGGAGGGAAGGGGCCCATAAACATACATAAGTTAAGGAATATTCTTCCAAAAGAAAACAAGAGTATCACCAGAGAATAACAAAAATTTTAGAAAGAGCTTTTGGTACAAGCTAGCTCAAAAGATACACATCAAACTTTAGGCTACAGGGGGGTAAGTAGTGTGTTATAGAAGATAGTGCTGGACTGGGAGCAAGAAAGTCTTATTTTCAAATGCTGCTGATGGTGCTTAACTAGCTCTGTGACCACAGACAAGTCACTTAATGGCTCTGAATCTCAGTTTTCTCATGAATAAAACAGTAAGAATATTACCTATTGTAGTCACCTCAAATGGTTCTTGTGGGGCCCAAATGGGGAAAAGTAGGTAGAATGCAAACATTCCAATTATTAATCCCATTCTTATTTTTTGATGGAATTCAGATAGAATGGTCCTAGGACATCTTACTATCCTGCTATTATTATTATTTATTATTATTTTTAATATTCTGCAGCCTTACTGTTGTTGTTTAGTTGTTTTCAGTCAGTGTCTGACTTTTAGTGATCCCTTTTAGGATTTTCTTGGAAAAGATACTGGAGCAGTTTGTCATTTCCTTCTCCAGTTCATTTTACAGATAAAGAAACTGAGGCAAAAATGGTCTAATGACTTCTTCAGCATTACACAGCTAGTAAGTGTCTGAGTCTGGATTTCAACTCAGGAAGAGGAGTCTTCCTAACTGCAGACCCAGCACTCTATCCACTTCACCACTTAGCTGCCCTTACAAAAGTGGATAAAATATGAATTTTTGTGATTTCATAAGAATATTTGGATGTAAGTATGCCTTCCTAAGACTAACTGAAAGTCTTATCAGGACAATTCCAGTAGCAGACAGGATAGCGTGGATATGTGGGATGTACCTCATCTCATTGCAATATGGTTTCAATTTCTTTTAGTAGATTTCTCTATTTTAAAAGTTGTTTTTCTTTTTTTTTTGCCATTTCATGTCATTTGGAAATTGTGAGTATCTCGTATCACAACACCGATTAAAAATGCTGTTCTCAAATTTTTACAGATCAATATTATGTCAGGGCAATATGGGCAACATTTCTATCTCTAATAATGCTCCAGTTTCAGTACAGTTTGTTTGCTGAATCTTAAAGGATATTTTGTAATTTGTATTTGTACTACTGGTATTTGTCATCTGTTAGTTTATAAAGGACAGTGAGTAAGCTTCTGGTGTATAATTCTCCCCTTTGATTGTATCTTTCTTGATACCTAGTAGATGCTAAAAGTTTTTTTTTTTTCAGCCTTTATGTATTATCTATATTGAGAGTGGACACTGAGCCTTCTCATTGCTGGAATCACCCCTTTAGCAGCTAATATCATCCAAACCTATTTTTTACTTTGAATTTATTTCCTCTATATTTAATTATGTACATGTTATCTTTACCAGTAGAAAGCAGCCTCCTTGAGAGCAGGGACCATTTCATTTTTGTCTTTGTATAGACTTACAGCACCATGCCTGGCATATAGAAGTTACGTGGTAAAAGATTAGGGACTGCTGAATTGGAAATAAATATGTGAGATCGTTAAGAAAAATTGGATCAGGCTTGTATCGGAGAGGAAGCTAGTGAAGTACGTAACTAGAAATCAAGGAACCACTGTGAAGCATTTTCTGATAAACTTTTGTTTTCCAGGTTCAATTCCCTGTTTCTTTTGCGTTGCTTTCACTAAGGCAAGTAGGTTCTCAAGTGTTCTACTTCATATTTGTTGTTGTTGTTCAGTTGTCTGACTATTTGTGACCCCATTTTGGGGTCACTACTGGAGTAGTTTGCTGCTTCCTTCTCCTGCTCATTTTACAGATTATTGAAGCAAACAGGGTTAAGTGACTTGCCCAAGATTGTACAGCTAAAAAATGTCTGAGGGCAAATTTGAGCTCACAAAGATGAGTCTTCCTAATTCTAAGCCTGGCACTTTATCTAATGTGCCACCTAACTGCATGTATTAGCTAGATATTGATATAATCAATCAGCATTTATTAAGCATCTATTAAATTGTCTTCCAATGTCTTATTGAAAGTCTTTAATATTTTTCTGAAGATGCTTCTGCTATGATGGTTTTTCATGTCTATCCTTAGTAGTATTCCTAAATAATGTCACCTTTCTTCCTTCTATAGTCATTACTGTGATGGCAACAACCACAGCATATGTTATGAAAGTTCTGACATGGTTTCATATTCTCTACCAAGCATCATAGAAGAAAATATGTGTTCGTTGTAGTTATGGCAAATACTAGTGTTTTTCTTTTTTTATTACAAGAATTATTTTAATAAAATTCAAGCTTAACAAACACCAAAGAAAATGAGTATTTTTTTCAAATTTATTATTCATTTTAACATTTTTTAAAATTGAGTTCCAAATTCTCTTCCACCCTACTTATTCTCCCCTACTCATTGAGAAGGCAAGAGATATGGTATCAGTTATACATGTGAAATCATTCAAAGCATATTTCCATATTAGCCATATTACAAAAACCAAAACCAAAAAGTGAAAAAGCCAAAAAAATTATGCTTGAATCTGCACTCAGATGCCATCAGTTCTTTCTTTGGAGGTGGATAGCATTTTTTTTTTATCATAAGCCCTTTAGAATTATTTTAAATCATTGTATTGATCAAAACAGCCAAGTCATTCATAGCTGAACACCATACAATATTGATGTTACTGAGTAAAATACTCTCCTGGTTCTATTCCTTTTACTTTGTGTCAGTTCATATAAGTCTTCTGAGTTTTTCTGAAACATCCCACTTGTCATTTCATATAGCACAATAGGATTCCATCACAATCATATAGTACAACTTGTTTAGTCATTCCATGATGGTCATCCCATGAGTTTCCAAATCTTTGCCAGTCAAAAAGTTTTGCTATGAGTATTTTTGTACACATAGGTCCTTGTCTTTTTTCTCTGATGTCTTTGGGATACAGACCTACTAGTGGTATTGCTGGATCAAAGTGTATGAACAGTTTTATAGCACTTTGGGTATAGTTCCAAATTGCTCTCCAGAATGGTTGGATCAGTTCACAACTCCACCAATAGTGTATTAGTGTCCCATTATTTCCCCTTCCACCATTTGTCATTTCTTTTTCTGTCATGACAGACAGTATGATAGGAATGCTGTGATACCTCAGAGTTAATTTGAATTTTTCTAATCAATAGTGATTTAGAGCATGTTTCATAAAACTATAGTTTTGATTTCTTGTAAAAACTGTTCATATCTTTTAACCATTTATTAATTGGGGAATGACTCATTTTTATAAATTTGACCCAGTTCCCTAAATATTGGGGAAATGAAACCTTTAGCAGAGAAACTTTCTGTAAAAACTTTATTCACAGGTACTTGCTTGCTTTCTAATCTTGGCTGCATTGGTTTTGTTTGTGGTAAAAAAAACTTTTAAATTTAATGTACTCAAAATTGTTCACTTTACTGCCCATGATCCTCTCTACCTCTTAGTTGGTTATACATTCTTTTCTTATCTATAGGTTTGACAGGTACATTTTTTCAGGCTCCTCTAATTTTCTTATGGCTTCATCCTTTATGTCTAAATCATGCACCCATTTTGACCTTATCTTGGTATACACTGTGAGATGTTGGTCTATACTTAGTTTCTGCCATGCTGCTTTCCAGTTTTCCCAGCAATTTTTGTCAAATAGTGAGTTCTTGTCCCAAAAGTTTGGGCCTATCAAACACTAGATTACTATCTGCATTTACTACTGTGTAATGTGTACTTAATCTATTTCAGTGATTCATCACTCTATTTCTTACTCAGTACCAGATTGTTTTCATGATTGCCATTTTCTAATTTAGTTCGAGATCTAGTATGGCTAGGCTACCTTCCTTCATATTTTGTTTTTCATTGATTCTCTTGATATTCTTGATCTTTTGTTCTAGAAGAATTTCGTTCTAAATTTTTCTAAGTCTTTGTATCTCTGTCTTGGTATGGCACTGAATAAGTAAATTGATTTAGGTTAAACTGCCATTTGTATTGGCTCAGCCTATGCATGAGCAATTGATATTTTTTTCCAGTTTAGATCTGTTTTATCATTGTGTTCATATGGTTCCAGAGTTTGTCGTGTTAAGTAGACTCCCAAGTATTGTATAATGTCTGTGGTTATTTTAAATGGGATTTCTCTATCTCTTCCTACCGTACTTTGTGGGTAATATATAGAAATGTTGATGTTTTGTATAAGTTTATTTTATACCCTGCAATTTGACTATAATCTGTTAATTGTTTCAACTAGGTTTTTTAGTTATCTAAGTTTCTTTGGATATATCAGCACATTGTCTACAAAGAGTGGTAGTTTTGTTTTCTTATAGCCTGTTCTAATGCCTTCAATTTCTTTTTCTTGTCTTATTGCTGTAGCTAGCGTTTGTAGTACAGCATTGAATAATAGTGTTGATAAAGGGCATCTTTGCTTTACCATTGATCTCATTGGGAAGGCTTCTCGTTCCATTTATTTCTCTGTTTCTAGTGTTTTCAATAAGCATGAATGTTTTGTTAAAGAGTCTTTTTTGCATCTATTGAGATAATCATATGACATTTGTTGGTTTTGTTATTGATATAGTCAACTATGCAGATAGTTTTGCTAATATTGAACCAGCCCTGTGTTCCTGGCATAAATTCGCCTAGTTATAGTGTATGATCTTTGTGATATATTGCCAGATACTGTTTTTTTTTTTTAAATTCTGCCTATTAGTTGGATTCATGATATCAATATGAAAGAATAATTTTTGAAATTCAGTTTAAGCCTACCCATTTTCTTTTGAAAATCATTCCAGACATTAGCACTGTTTTTTACTAAACATTTCATTGTTAGGTAGCAGTTGGGGAGTTTCTGTTGAGTCCAAATTTTCAATGTCTTCATGATTTTAGCTTTTTCCTTTTCTGATTTAAATATCTTAATTTTTATTCTTATTTAATTTTATTTTGTTTTAGGAATAAAGTTATTCCTTCCAATTGCCCCACAACACTTTATGTAACTTGGATCTGAGGATCTCATTGACCAAAGAAAGTTTGAAGTTCTTGCCTACAATTGGTGAGTTCTGTGTTCAATTTTATTATGCTGTTGTCTTTGTGCATCTTAAAAACATTACTATCTTTAGTGCATTTTGCCCATACTCATGGCTTGCCTGCTTTTATAAACAGTACTACTGACACTGAAATAAATTTTACAGAAGGTGGGGTTTTGGTATTTCTGATTTCTGGTGATGTAGCTAGCTTTCCTGTGGTACTCAAACACCAAGGAGTTGCTGTTCTCCTTGTTAGGCTGATTATCATGATGGCTATAAGTAAGGTTGACTTACAAACATAGGTCACCCCACTTATTTTTTAAGTTCATAGAATTTTTTATACCATTCTGCACAGAGTATTAATCCAATCCAATCAGTGGTATCGCCAGAATGAAATGATTGGATTTTCAGGATTCATTCCAGGTCTTCACAGCTACCAGAAAAGTCTTAAGCCACACAGCATCCATTCATCTATCCTATTTACATTCCTGGCTGGAATTATTTTACTTTGCGGTGGCACACCTACCCCTCCCCCAACCCCTGTCCTTACCATCTTGGTTGATGGTTGGTTTTTGAGGGATTACTTTTATTGTTGTTGTTGTTGTTGCCCTTATCATTAATTCTTATTATGGAGATGTTTTCTTTTTGTTAGATGTTATATAGATAGATATGTTTCTGGAACAAGATGATGTCCTGTTTTTATTCTTTTTTCTTTACTCTTTTGCAGACTACTGAACATGTGGCTAAAATAACTGCATTTTTAGTTAAACAAAAATGACAGGAAATAAGCTCGTGGTCCATAGGCTCACTTAAAGAAATCTAATAGACGGTATGATGAGAATGGCATTTATCTCATTCTATTGCCACAGGATTTTGATTTTCTCTTCTAGGTCTTTATATTTTAAAATGTTTATTTTTTGTTTCACCTAACTTGGAGATTGAATATTTAGAATGGCAAAATCTATGAAACAAGTTGTTCTTAAATTTTTATAGATCAATTTTATGTCTTTAGTGATTGTGGGCAACAGTTCAGTCTGTGAAAATATGCCATCTGGTTCAAGTACAGTTTCCTGGTTGGTTTCTTCAGAATATTTTGAGGTCTGAATTTGTTCTTTGTCAGTCCATGTGAGCTGTTGAGCTTGTGATATATAATTCTAGCTACCATATCACATCTTGCTAGATATTTGGTAGGTGCTAATCTTTCCAATCAAAAGTAATGTGATACACTGTTTTCTCTATTTCCTTTCATAATCTATGATGATGACTAAATGCAGTTTCCTTAAGGATAACCCTCCTGTAATTTCTTGTGGCAATGACCTGGTCCAGAATTCCTACATAAGCTACTCCAGAAACATATATATATGGTCATCACTCTGCAACTTGTTAGAATTTTTTTTGTTGTTGTTTCCACATTGTTAGTTGCATTCTTGTGGATATGTAGCACCTTTGTCTTCAATCTTTGCTTTTTCATAAGCTCCATCTGGTGGTTGACCACTTTCATTTACATTTGACAAATCTGGTGGCATGTGGCTGTTGTAGATCTTTTTATTTATTGCTTAGGGACATGATGTTAACTTGTTTTAAAAAGTATATATGTAGGGTTTTTTTTAACTTCTTGTCATGTATTCTTTCAATGTCTATCAGTCTTCTTCCTCCTTTTTTGGTGATGAAGTATTCATCTATCTATTACTTTCTCAGGATTATATATATTATGTCTTATTAATATTGTACCTGTTTTTGTTGGGGTACTTTACACATTTGTTATTGTCTATTTTGAAATTCCAAAAGGGTATCTTGAGAAATTGTGTAGGTATTAATCCCTTTAAATGTGTTCTCTTCATTCAGGATTGTTTGATTTTAGGATGCCAGTAAATTGCTTAACATGCTACATCTTGCCTGGAAGAGATAAAGGTATTCTTAGGTGTTGCTTTCTTCCATTTGTTTATTGTGACCTCCAGATTCAATCTTAAAGCTTTCAGTCTCTATCTTTCCTTGGCATACAGTAGATTAAAAATTTTATACTTAGTCCAATTTACTAGCAAGATGATTTCTCATGAAGAAAGCTTCTACTTGATGAAGGAACTATTTGATTTTTTGGTAGAATTGTATAGAGTAATATCATCTGTGATTATTAATATTATTACTGTCATTATGCAGATGAAAGTACACAAGGAGTCAAAGATCATAGATTTAGGGTTTTATGGGTCTTCATATGCCATCAAGTCTAGCCCCCTCATTTTACAGATGAAGAAACTGAAGCATAGATAAGTGACTTCCCTAAGGTCACACAGCTACCAAGTGTCTGAGGTGGGATTTGAACCTGAGTCTTCCTGACTCCAAGCCCAGTACCCTATCCATATATAATTCTTGTGGGAAATGGTTATCAATGCCAGCAATGTCCCTACTACTCCCCAGCTCACAAAAGATAAAGACCAGATTTTAATGTGTTATACCATCAGATTCTAAGTCTAGGCTGATTCAGGCAAAATCTGAGGTCTCAGTGAGATTTCCAGTTTGCCATGTAGGATGAATCTGAGAAAACAGGAGCTCGTGATGAAAACACTCAGAGACTCTTAACTATAGCACCGCTACCAGGCTTTGCTATAATAGCAAGACAATTTAGTAATAATGGGTGAGTAGGAAGAAAATTAAGTAGTTTGCTGAGATACAAAAAAACTATAAGCCTGAACATATTTGGCCTCATGTTCATCTTCAAATGCACAGTGGGTTCATTAGGGTAATTTAACCTTTCCATAAGCCATTGAGTGATAAATTCTATTAATACATTTCAAATGCTAGCTTTGAGAGTAACTGCCTGGCTGGTGAAGGGAATTGAAAAAGATGGGGTAAAGTATTATCTCCCACTTCATCCTCTAGCTCAGCAAAATGAGTAGATGACAGGTTTTTACCTTGCCATTTGATGGTAAAATGTTCTCATTCCCCTCCATTCAGCCTCAGCCTTAGGGCAAGCCAGTGTTTGCTGCAATTTACTACAATAATAGCAAGACAATTTAGCAGTAATGGATAAGTAGGGAGAAAATTAAGCAGTTTGCTGAGATACAGAAATGAAGCCAGAAAATATTTGGCCTCATGTTAGGCTTCAACTTCATAGTCAATTCATTAGTGTAATTTGGTCCTTTGCATAAGCCTTTGAGTGATAAATTCTCCTAATACGTTTGAAATGCCAGCTGTAAGAATAACTCATTGAGTGTTGAGTAAAATTAAAAGATGGGCTAGCATAAATCCTTCATTTTCATCTCGTATGGGAAGATTTATTGTGGCCTCTGAGAAGAAGCATCTGTCAGCCTGTAGAAAATTGATGGTATTAAAGGAAAGACATTGTCATGTTTTGGTGAGGTGACTTTAGTGAAAGAAGTGTTTTCACTCAGAATCTTTACAAGGCTTCTCCCTCTGGGATACTCTTATTAACAGCATGTGAAGCTTTCAGAGTTTGCTGGGGTTGGGGAGGAGGAGGGGGAAGAAAGGACACAATGTAAAGGAGATGAAGTGCTTGTAATGGTGAGTTCACTGGGTCTTTTCTAATGAAAAAAAAAGTATACATGGATGGTTGGCCCCATTTTCCTGCCTTTGAGGCAACTGATTACATGACTTCTCAGGAAGCCTTCACACCCCAGTAAGAAAACTGTAGTAGCAATGACTGAAACATGCAAATGAAAGTATAAGCTGTAGTTGCATTATGATAAAAAAGCTTGGCCCTGGAGAAGTAAGGAAGCCATTCCAATTTGGTAGAAGTCATTAGGACCTATACTCTGCCTTTAAGTATCTAGGTTTTTACTGCTGAATTTTGTGGGAGAAATTTGAGGAGAAGGAGGAAGAGAAAAGAGAAGTACTTGACTAAGATAAGAAGGAGAAGGAAATTACAAGGTGACTTGAAGAATTTGGACCTAATAAATTAAGTTGGAGGATGCTAGAAGGGGGAAGATTTGACTGAATTTGGGAAAAATTGAGGATAATTTAAAGAATAATATCTAGGCCTAGATCCTGTTTTAGATTGCATTTCTAGGTTAAAAGAAGAGAAGGATGAAGTACAATTAAGGAGTCTAAAAGATTTAAGGAGAGTTCTTTTTTTGATTATATAACTCTACTAGTGAAAGAGGTGAATGTTATGGGAATATCTGATAATGTACTTTATTAGGCTGTATTTTGTGAAGATGGAGCAGTGTACTAGACAATAATATAATTCAATACTTGTAGAATTGTTTGGACAACTGGACTCAAACAGTACTTGTTAATGACTCAATGTCAACATGGCAAGTGGTCTTTAGTACAGTACCCTAGGATTTTTTACTCTGTACCAGTTAATATTTTTGTCAATAACTTGGATAAAGGTATAGAGGGCACATGATCCACTCGGTGGTGCAGTGTATAGGGTGCCAGGCCTGGAATCATGAAGACTCCTATTCCTGAATTCAAATGCAGCTTCAGATACTTCTTAGCTGTGTGACCATGGGAAGTCACTTAACCCTTTTTGCCTCACTTTCCTCATCTGTAAAATGTGCTGGAGAAGGAAGTGGCAAATCACTCTATTATCTTTGCCAAGAAAATCTCAAAGAGGGTGACAAAGAGTCAGGAATGACTGAAAAACAACTAAACAACAACAGTAGAGGGCATACTCACAGATTTGGAGACAATACAGAGGATACAAAGGTAGGAGGGAGAGCAAACACGTTGGATTACATATATATATTAGCAGGCTATATTTTATATATATATTTTATATATATATATATTATATATATATATTTTAGCAGGCTAGATTACTTGAACATTAAAAAAATAATTTCACAAGTATAATGTTGAAGAGGCATGGCTTGACAGGAGTTCTTGGGGAAAAAAGGTGTGGGGATTTCAGTGGCTCTATATGTGTCTGCAGTGTTATGAGCTAGTCAAAAATGCTAATGTAGTTGTCAAAGTCTTTACTGTGGCCCCAACTGCCTGAAAGTAAGTAGCTACCTCCATGTTAGATGATCTGAGCATACTCCAAAACCCTCTTTTATATAATTTTAAGCTGGGCTGTAAGAAAGGCATAGTTTTCAGGAAATACTGAGGTGATGGTCCTTTTGTCTCTTATCCTTATACAAGACTTCATAAAGAGTATGGTGTTTAATTCTGGGTATCACAGTCTAAGAAGGACATTGATAAGCTTGAGAATGTTCAAGGATGGCACTGAAGATGGCAAAGGACCTTGTTGGAATCAATGCCATATGTTAATCAGTTGAAGAAACTTGGAATGTTTAACCTGGGGAAGACTCGGGGTTGACGTGATTTATTTTCAAGCATTTTGAGGGCCATTTTGTGGAAGAATGATTACATTTGTTATATTTAGCCTTAGAGGAAGAGTAAAACCAAGTAATTGGTAAAAGTTGCAAAGAAGTTGTGCTTCAGTCTGTTGTCAGGAATAATTACTAACAATTAGAACTGTCCAAAAGTAGAATAAGATACCTCAAAAGGTAAGAAGATTGTCACTTCCTGGAGATTTTCAAAGCAACATCTGGATGATCAGTATATTATAGTGGTTATTTCTTTTGTGTCTAGGTTAGATGGATGCTGAGGGCTCTTCCAACTATCACCACTCTAACACAAGGGAGCATTGAAGCAGCCTTTCAGCAGAGGAAGCAACCTCGACCTATTTGTTATTTGAGGACTGCCTGTATATGCAGAATTTACTTGGGTAGGTTGTATGTCCATCACTGTGAGTGATAGCAAAACCTTTCCCCATGTGAAAGCATTAAGATTGGAAAAAAATAATAGAGTTGCCTGTATCCTTTCTATCAGTCATTTATTATTCATTCATTCATCTTACCCTTATTTCCGTGGTTAAAAAAATGACCCAGCAGAATAGTTCCAAGGTATCAGAATTATGTTGTTGAATGTCTCTATTTGAGCATAACACTATATTCACGCTTAATTAGATGAGCTGAAAAACTAGCTAAAATTTGAGGTGGTACGGTAGATCGAAGGCTGGGCATGGAGTAATAAAGATTTTATTTCAAATTTGGCCTCAAACAGTTCATAATTGTATGACTCTGACCAAGAAAAGTAACTTGGCCTTAAATATTAGATGGGGATAATACCAATACCTATATTGCATGATTGTTGTGAGGATCAAATGGAATAATATGCGTATGGACTTTACAATAGTTTCTGACCACATAATAGGTGCTATACGAATTAAATGTGTATTCCCTTCTCCTTCCCTTCCCCTAAAATTTTCCCCTTTCTACTATAGCTGAGCAAGCTACCTATGACTACATATAGTGGAAGGGGCCTATATGTGCAAAACTTTGTCTTGTTTTCCCTAGGCTGAGAAAAGGGGCTACTAGTGATCACTTGAGTAGAACAGTAGACTGGGACAATATTTTTGGAACGTGACTGTATAAAATGACAATATAAAAAGGACCATGTCAGCATTAAAAAAAAAATAGGTGCTTTAAGCCTAGATTGAAATTTCTCCATAGCTACACAACATAGAAGGAACTATTAACCCCAAGAATTCAGTGCTTATTCCTAACTCCATGTCTTTGCCCATGCTGTCCCTTCTCCCGTTAACCTATCTAGAGCCTATCCATATTTCACTCAACTCAAGCTTTCCCTGACTACTCAAATTTTCATTGATTCTTTCCTTACTTCATTCTCCTCTGGCCTTCTATAGTCCAGGATTCTAAGAAGTAATTAGCCCCTAGCTATGTTCTGTCATACGGAATTTGTTGTTTCATGTGTATTATTCATAGCTCAAATGAGATAATTATATAAAGTGCTTTGCAAATCTTAGAGGGCTATATAAATGTCAATGTATTTTTGTGGTTTCTCGATTCAGCCACAATCTCCTTGAGGGCAGGAATAATGCCATACAATTCTGCATATACTTAGTGTTTATGCACACTAAGTATATGAAAATACAGGAAATTCTCGGTAGGTAACTGATGAATCAATTTCCTGTGCCAGAGCATATTGATACAGAGAAACTGGCTCTTAAGTAAGAAAACCTTGCTTCAATTTCCACATTTGATGCTGGCAATATTGAGTAAACTTAAGCAAATCACTTCAAGTTTCTGAGCCTTAATTTTTCTTATATATCAAATAAGATGGTTGATCTAAATGATTTCAAAGTTCATTTCTAGCTGTAGATCTATGATCTCATGATCTAATAAACCTGAACAAATCAATGCCAATAATTGTTAGGTATCATAATAATAATAGCTAGAATTTATATAATGCTTTAAGGTTTCAAAGCACGTCACATATATCATCTCATTTGTTTCTCACAACCCTGTGAGGGTGCTGTTTTATTAGGCCCACTTGGCAGACTGGGAAACTGAGTCAGCGAGTCAATTGACTTGTCCGGGTTCACATAGTGAACAAATATCTGGGGCAGAGTTTGAACTCATGTCGTCCTGAATCCAGGTTCAGTACTTTAGCTACTGCATCAACTAGCTTCCTTTTTGAAAAACAAATCCTAGAAGTTATGACAGAAAATTATATGAAAATGATAAGGTTTCCTCTTTTACTAAGGCCCTTTCTTGCTTACATCCTATGGCTCTTTGAGAAAATTAATTCATTAGCCTCCCATTTCTGACATTTCTCAATTCAGAATAGCCAACACTAATTAAAAACAAACAAAAACCTCACCAAATATTAGAACCAGCCATAACTGATTTGTATTAGAATTCTTACCAGCACTATTAATGTTTGCCTAGCTACTAATTACTTCATAATTATAACTTGTCCAGAATAAATGGTTGTAAGGATATTACTGTACTTTCAAAATATTTCCGTTTTTATCTTCCTTTCCTTTACTGCTTTATTTTCTTTGATTCCTTTCCTCTCAGTGACTGAAGATCTAATTGATGCCTTCTGTATTTTTCTTCCTAGCTTGGTTCTATAGACTCTCACAAAACTAAATGGACCCAGAAAGATGATTAGCAAATTTTAAAATATTTATTATGTAAAACTTTATAATGACTCAATCTCCTTAAAAATGCCTTGATGATAGTTTTTAGCAGGGTTTCCTCAATATGTTTTAAAAACAATTTTTGGGAATATGATGCAGACATCCTTATATTTAAGCTGCTAAAGATAAAAAGAAATGATGGGAACAATCATAGGTCCTGGCAATATTACCCTCTATATTTTTAGGAAGTCAAGTTTCATTGTAGAATGAAAGGCAAAGATCTAACACTGTCCACGTTAACAAGGAACCCAACTGGGCAGGGAACAATATAAACTATTCAAACTTTCAGTGTATGGGGTCAGAGAAGAATGCAGAAGTTTTTGTTATTGTTGTTGGAAGAAAATTTTCTGTACTTTCTGACCTCCAGGCTGGGCAAAATAAGACTGAAAATCTTACAGATAACAGATTTGCATCAATAATTCTTCCCATTTTTAATCATATCATTTCAGAATCTGAGAATTAAACCTTCAAAGGCCATCTAGAACAAGAATCTTCCCTATAACATCCCAACAAATAGGAATACGGCTTACAATGAGGCAAAACCTACATTTCTAAGTTGGCTTTATTCCATTTTTGGTTAGCTGTAATTGTTGGGAAATGTTTCCTTATGTTGAGTGTTTATCTGCCTGCCTTTTCCTCTCCTTGTACCTAGTTCTTTCTCTCAGAACCAAACAAGAAAAATAGAATCCTTTCACATGACCTACCTTGACCTACTTGAAGATGTCATCATGTCCCAAGTCCTCTTTTTCAAGAGAAATAATCCTACTTTTTTTTTCCTGTACTGATTCTCATGATATAGTAGTCTTCAATTTCTTTACTGTCCTGACTACCTTCCTCTGCACTAATTTGTTATTTCCTAAAATGCGACACCTAGAACTGAACAGAATTTTAGGTTGACCAAAATCAGTTAACTATCATCCTTGGCATTCATTTATTTTAATGCAATTTAAAGATCACATTACCTTTCTTTAGGCTGCCTTGACACACTGCTGTTACATATTGAGTTGGCATTCGGTCAACTATCATCCTTGGCATTCATTTATTTTAATGCAATTTAAAGATCACATTACCTTTCTTTAGGCTGCCTTGACACACTGCTGTTACATATTGAGTTGGCATTCGGTCAACTAATCGAGCAAGCATTTAAGTGTCCTATATTGCTTTAAGCACTGTGCTAGGTACCAGGATACAAGGACAGAAGCTAATTACCCCCTTCCCTCAAACTTACATTCTAATTGAAGAGACAAAATGTGCAATTCTATGAAGTTATAGAGTAGGTTGAAGGTAACTTTGGAGGTGATGCCTCTAGTAACTGAAGAAATTCAGAAAGGCTTCATATAGAAGATACTACTCAAGCTAATCCTTGGAGGAAAGCGAGGATTCCAAGACACAGAGGTAAAGAGGGAGACCATTTAAGTCCACTACAATCTATGAATATTTTTCATATGGCTACATAGCCATACCTATTCCAATTTGTACTTCTAAAAGTCAATTTCTGAACCCAAGTTTAAGGTGTTACAGTTGAACAACTGGACCCAAAGTATGTTGATTAATAAATTAGTGATAACTCAGAGAGATTTATATTGATGTGGCATAGACTTTATCTAATTCATAATCCTCCCTCCCCCCAATGACTTAGGTGAAAATATAAATGGCATAGTTACCAAGTGGGAAGATGACACAAAGGCAGGAGGTATAGTTAATATAGTGAGTGACAGTCAGAATCCAAAAATACTTGTAGGAGCTGCAATGATGGGCTAAAAAAGTTGAAATTTAATAACTTAATTCACAATATTAAATTCATAAGTAACAAATAAAGATACAGAAAACCTAATTTAATACCACTTTGTGCAAAATGATCTTGAGTTGTAGATGACTGCTTAAAACCTAAATCATTCCTTTGATGTGTTTCCAAAAGTACGTATGCAATCAGCCTGCTTTTGTGAAGAGTAATTGATATCATATGTAAAGGGCAGCCAAAGGGAACACCTCCAAGCTAATATCTCAGACAAGAGCTGTTTGAAGTAAGATTTCATCAGTTGTAGTTACCAATCATTATTATAATTCTGTTGGGCCAGCTCCTCCACCTCTATTTCCCAATTTCCTCTTAATTCCAACAGGCAGAAATAGATTACCCCATATTCTTCCAAGGAGTTTATCTGGCCCCAGAAATATACAGAAAGGCCCAGATACTTGGACTCAGATTCAAATGGTTTCTAAGGAGAAAAATAAACTAAAAAAACCTAAATAGGTTGATGCTTTAGTGACAACTTGAAGGTTCACCTATAGAACAATGTGCTAGGTATCTGTCCTTGACCCTATCAAAAAGAGGCAGAGATACATTTATAAAACTCATTGTAATTTCTGATAAGTATATTATTAGCTAAGCCACATTTTTCCATGTTGGCTAAAAGGATGTCATGAGCAACTGTATGTGTTGCTAGATATTTCAGTATCATGCCCCTGTTCTACTAGTCAGTATTGATATAGCTAGGCATAGGAACTGGATCTATATTTTAGTGATACAGAGAACTCTGGATGAAGAAATTCCCTCTACCAATGTAGGTTGCAGTTTTCTATAGAACTTATAGACCTAGAAAGTTTGCCTAGAACAGTGGTATCAATCTCAAATAGAAACGGAGGCCACTAAACCATACATAAGGATCCACAAGGGCCACATATTGACTTAGAAAACCACATATTAACATTA